AGATAGAAAGAGAAATCCCATTTAAACTTACTGTAGACATTATAAAATATTTAGGAGTCTACCTCCAAACAAACCCAGGAACTCTATGAACACAATTACAAAACACTTTTCACACAAATAAAATCAGATCTAAATAATTGGAAAAATCAGTTGCTCATGGGTAGGCCGAGCTAATATAATAAAAATGACAATCCTACCTAAGCTAATTTACTTATTCAGTGCCATACCAATCAAACTAGCAAAAAAAATTTTATAGAGTTAGAAAAAATAATAACAAGATTCATTTGGAAAAAAGAAAAGGTCCAGAATATCAAAGGAACTAATGAAAAGAAATGCAGGGGAAGGTGGCCTAGCAATTCCAGATCTTAAATTGTATTATAAAGCAGCAATCATCAAAACTGCTTGGTACTGGCTAAGAAATAGGGAGGTGGATCAGTGGAATAGGTTAAATATGCAAGACACAGTAGTCAATGACTATAGTAATCTATTATTTGATAAACCCAAAGACCCCAGCTTCTGGGATAAGAACCCACTCTTTGAAAAAAACTGCTGGGAAAACTGGAAAAGAGTATGGCAGAAACTAGGCATAGACCCAAATCTCACACCATATACCAAAATAAAGTCAAAATGGGTTCATGACTTAGATATAAAGGCTGATACCATAAGTAAACTGGGAGAACAAGGAATAGTTTACCTATCAGATCTATGGAGAACAGAAGAATTCATGACCAAACAGGAGATAGAGAACATTATGAAAAGCAAAATGGATAATTTTGATTACATTAAATTGAAAAGTTTTTGCACAAACAAAGCCAATGCAACTAAGATTAGAAGGAAGGTAGAAAATTGGGAAAGAATTTTTACAACCAGTCTCTCTGATAAAGGCCTCATTTCTAAAATATATAGAGAATTAAGACAAATTTATAAGAACACAAGCCATTCCCCAATTGATAAATGGTCAAAGGATATGAACAGACAGTTCTCAGATGAAGAAATTAAAGCCATCTATAGTCATATGAAAAAATGCTCTAAATCAGTAATGCATAGTGATAAGCACCGGCCCTGGATTCAGGAGGACCTGAGTTCAAATCCGGCCTCAGACACATAACACTTACTAGCTGTGTGACCCTGGGCAAGTCACTTAACCCTACTGCCTAGCAAAAAAAAAATAAATGCTCTAAATTGTTATTGATTGGAGAAATGCAAATCAAAACAACTCTGAGGTACCACATCACACCTACCAGATTGGCCAACATGACAAAACAGGAAAATGATAAATGTTGGAGAAGATGTGGGAAAATTGGAACACTAATACATTGTTGGTGGAGTTGTGAAATGATCCAACCATTTTGGAGAACAATTTGGAACTATGCCCAAAGGGGCTACAAAAATGTGCATACCCTTTGATCCAGCAATAGTACTTCTAGGGCTATATCCCAAAGAGATCAAACAAATGGGAAAAGGACCCATATGTACAAAAATATACATAGCAGCTCTTTTTGTGGTGGCAAAGAATTGGAAATTGAGAGGATCCCCATCAACTGGGGAATGGCTGAGCAAGTTGTGGTATATGAATGTAATGGAATACTATTGTGCTGTAAGAAATGATGAACAGGCTGACTTCAGCAAAACCTGGAAAGACTTATATGGTCTGATGCTGAGTGAAGTGAGCAGAACCAAGAGGACTTTGTACACAATAACAGCCACGTCATGCAATGACTAAGATTGTTAAACTGAACCTTTCTCAGCATTATGAGGCCTGGGGATGGAAAATGCTGTCCACATCCAAAGAAAGAACTATGGAAGTCGAATCGCTCTCACTTATTTTTACCTTCTGTTGAGTTTTGTTTCATCTTTGTGATGGTTCCTCCCATTGGTTTTAATTTTTACTTACAACTTCACTAATGTGAAAATATGTTTAATGGATATGTAAATGTAAAGCCTATATCAGATTGTGCACCGTCTTGGGGAGGGTGGGGGGGAGGAAAAGGGAGAAAAATTTTCAACTCAAAAGCATATGGAAAAAATTTAAAAAAATTAAATTAAAAAAATAAAGTTAAAAAAAATTATGATGCCAAAAAGAGCCTGGACAGTATCTCTCAGGAAATCATAAAGGAAAACTGCCCGGAAGTCCTAGAACCAGAAGGGAAAATAACCATAGAAAGAATACACCGCTCATCACCTGAAAGAGATCCCAAATTGACAACACCAAAGAATATAATAGCAAAATTCCAAAATTACCAGATGAAAGAGAAGGTGCTGCAAGCAGCCAGAAAGAAACAATTTAAATATCATGGAACCACAGTCAGGATTATACAGGACCTTGCAGCTTCTACATTAAAAGACTACAGGGCATGGAACATGATATTCCATTAGGCAAAGGAGCTTGGATTGCAGTCAAGGATCAACTACCCTGCAAAAATGAGCATGATTTTTCAAGGAAGAAGATGGATATTCAACAGAACAGAGGACTTCCAAACCTTCCTCATAAAAAGACCGGAGCTCAACAAAAAATTTGATCTTCAAGTCCAAGATTCAAGAAAAACATAAAAAGGCAAATGGGACAGAAAGATACAAAATGTTGTTAATAAGAGCGGACTGTTTACATCCCTACAAGGGAAGATGACACTTGCAATTCTTGAGAATTGTATTGTTATTACACCATGTTAAAGGAGTATACATAAAGGGGATGGATATTAGTTGACTTTGATGTAATGATAAAGAAAAAAATCTAATCAAGTGGCTTAAATAGATCCAAGTGGATTAGTCTGATCTTAGAAAATATACTGAGAAAGGAGGAGGCAGACAAGGGTAAATTACATTACAGGAAAAGACAGAAAATCCTATTACAGAAGAAGGAAAGAAGGGAGGGGGGTGAGCATTGTTTGAACCTTGCTCTCATCAGATTTGGCTCAAGAAGGGAATAATATAATCAGTTAGGTATGGAAATCTAACTTGCCCTATGGGCAGTAGAAGGGAAAAGGGGAAAGAAAAGGGAGGGTGGATGGAAGGGAGGGAAGAAGCAGTAGGGACAAAGGGGAAGAGAGGGGAGGGGGAAAATAGAAGGGAGGAGAGACTGAAGGAGGCAGTGGTCAAAAGCAAAGTACTGATGAGGGGGGGAAGGGAGAGAGGAGAATGAAAAAGCATAAACAGGGGGGGAAAAGGATGGAGAAAAAGACACAGACAGAAGTAGGCCTGAAGGGCAATAAGACCAGGCATAGCCTCTGATCCATCAATGTCACTACTAGAGGGTCGGGGAGGGGTGGGAAGGAAGGAGAATTTGGGACTCAATTTTTTTTAAAAGAATGTTAAAAATAAATAAATTCTCAAAATTTAAAAAAAAAAAAAGGAAATCAGGAATTCTAAGAAGAGATAAGAGGAAGCACATTCTTGGCATGGGGGACAGATAGCCTTCCTAAACAGTAATTGAGTCCCTTTCTCATTTCACACAGAAACCATTATTCCAAACCTTCTCTTTTCTCTTCAAGTCTCTCATGCCTCCCCCTCCTGCCTCTACCAGCTGAGGACCTTCTCTCTTATTTTACTGAGGACATTGAATTCCCTCTGCATAGCAAAACCTCTGTATGTCATCCCTCCATCTGTGACAAAGAGGTGATCGCTTTTCCATGGCCAACCTGCCTACATTGTCGAGGGCTTGATCCTATCCCTTCCTGTTCACTCTAGCATATTGGATCATCTCTGGTCTTCGGTTTCTTTGTGTATCCACTGGGACCTTCCCTGCTGCTTTCACACATGTCTAACTCTTCCTATCCCTCAAAAAAAGGGAAAAAAATCCTTTATTAGACTCTACCATTCCCCCTTGCCCCCATTGCTCTCCTTCTTTTCTTAGTCAAATTTCTTGAAAAGGCCATCTACACTCACTTCCTCCACTCTTTCCTCTCACTCACTTGTCAGCCCTTTGCAGTTTGTCTTCCAGCCTCACCATCATTCCACTGGAGCTGCCCTCTCCAAAGTTACTATGACCTGTTAATGGCCAGATCTGATGCTTTGTGGTCCATCCTCACTCTCCTCAGCCTGTTGGCTCCATTTGACCCCAGTGGCCATTCTTTCCTCTTGGATGCTCTCATCTCAGGTTCTTGTGACACTGTTGTTTCTCCTCCTACATGTCTGACCACTCCTCAGTCTCCTTTGCTGGTTCCTCATTGATATTACTCCAACTGCAGTTGCTTGCCAAGGACCTGTCCTGGGCCCTCTTCCCTTTACTCACTCTCTTTGTCTCTGTTTCCTCTCTCTGTCCCTTTCTTTCTCTGTCTCTCTCTTTGTGTCTCTGTCTCACCTCTGTCTCTCTGTCTCTGTCTCTCTTTCTCTTTGTCTCTCTTTTTCTCTGTCTCTCTGTCCCTCTCTCTGTCTCTATCTCTCTGTCTCTCTGTCTCTCCGTCTCACCTCTATCTCTCTTTCTGTCTCTCTGTCTCTGTCTGTCTCTCTGTCTCTCTCCAACCTCCCTGAAAAACAGACATCCACCCCAGTTTCTCCTCTGCACCCCCCACGGCCTGCTGGATGCCCCAGAGACATCTCAACCTCAGCCCCCCATTCATCATCTTTCCCCAAGCTCTCCCCGTTTCTGAAGGAGGGTGCCGCCTTCCGTCCCACGCCCCAGGCTCACAACCCCGCCTCCCTCCCCCGCCCCAGGGAGCCCAGCGCTGCTGAGCCTCACTCGCCTCCTCTCCCCTCAGCAGAACAAGTCGAGCCCTGAGTGGCCATTTGCTGTTTCAGCCGGTCCAAATTTGGGGTTTTCTCGGCAAAGATATTGGCGTGGTTTGCCATATTCTTTCTCCAGCTCATTTTGCAGATGGGGAAACTGAGGCAACCGGGGTGAAGTGATTTGCCCAGACTCACACAGCCAGTAAGTGTCTGAGGCCACATTGGAATACAGGTCTTCCCGACTCCGGGCCCCGCGCTCTGTGCACTATGGCGCCACTTAGCGGCCCAGATTGGTAGCAGCTGCCAATTTCCAAGGTACAAATGCCCACACTGAAAATTGAGAAATGCGGTTTGAGCTGACTCCTGTGCATTCCTCCCAAACCTACACGTTTGTTGTCTCCTTCGTTAGAGGATAAGCTGTGTGCAAAAAGAGACTGGTTCTTGTACTTCCTCTGTCAGGATCTGGCCCAGCGCCTGGCACACAGTAGGCGCCCAGTGCACACTGGATGATTGAGCAAGATTGACGTTTGAGGGACTGCAGAGCAGCGCAAATGCAAGGTAAGCTTAGGAAATTATGAGCACGGATATAAGTCTGAAGATAGGAGAGGAAGTCTGGAGGGAGGCACAGAGGGAGAGGGGGGAGGGAGGGGATAGGGGGAGGAGGAAGGGGGGACAGAGAGAGGAGAGGGAAGAGGAAAGGAGAGGAGGGGGATGGGGAAAGCGGGGGAGGAAAGGGGAGAGAGAGAGGAGAAGTAGGGGAAAAGGGGGGAGGGGAGAGAGGGGGAGAAGGAAGGAGGGGGAGGGGGGAGAGGAGGGAGGGACCAGAGGCCACTCGGTCGGATGGCAGGGGGTCCGAGCAGACCCTGGCAGGTCTAGATCATGGGGAAGAAGATTCTTATAAAATGGAATTTAACGGGTTAAATTAAAGTTCTACACTCGGGTTCAAATCCTTCCAAGCAACGGCTTGCCAGCCATAGGTCTAATGAAGGTCTGGATTCAAGGGAAAAGGCGATCCAAAGCGCATGCGCATGAAAGCCCCCAGGGAGGCCACAAGGGTCGTGGTCACGTGCTGGAGGGGGTGGCGCATGCGCCCTGGGGTGTATCTCTCCCCGACCACCACGAGGCCGCTGCAGAAGAGGAGCCCCACACGGGTGAGTGAGCCAGGGCGGCGAGGGGGCTGTGCTGAGACCCCCCCAGCAGTGCCCTGGCCTGGCCTGGCCTTTCAAGCTCCTCCTAGGCCCTATGTGAGGGCTAGTTTGGGGGGAGGGGAGGAGAGAGAGCAGACCCTGGGCCCAAGCGATGTGCGCAGGTGCTCAGGCTGGGTTCCCCCCCCACCTTGTATCAGGGGCTCCTGGAGGGGGGGAGGGGGAGGGGCAGGCTCGCACATGCGCAGAGCAGACACCCCGTCTCCAGCACTTCTGAAGCCCTACTGTTTGCGAGGCACTAAGCTGAGCGTCTGAGGCCTTAGTGTCCCCAACTCCAGGGGGGCCCTTGGTGCAACATCGGGGAACCCTCTGTGGGGGCTGAGGCTTGGCTCCTGCTGGTTCCTCCTGAGAGTGGGCAGTCAGCCGCCAGGGAGGCGCTGCAGTAGCAGGGATGGACAGGAGGCCTGGCACAGGGGACCCCCGCCCCAGACCACAGGCTTAGGGACACACAGCAGGTGATTGGCAGGAGCTGCCTCCACAGCATGAGGGGGAGCCGCTGCCAGCTCCACAGACTGCCTGGCAGCCAGTCACCATGGGGCACACTAGGCGGAAGAGCAAGGCCACACAGGAGGCCAGGTGGCAGCAGGGACGCACACAGCAGATGGGCACGGAGCAGGCCGGCTGGCAGCCAGTGGAGCAGCTGGTGTGGCGCGTGGTGTCTGGGGTGGGAAGGATCTTCGGAGAGGAGCAGAGGAGGAGGGATGGCTTTGGGCGCTCCTTCCCCCCGACCAAGGCTTTTATGCCCCTCTGCAGGAGTTTTCTTTACTGATGTTTGGGTTGTTTTCCTTCTAATATCTCATTAACCTACTACAGAGTGACCCAACATACTGCTCAGGTGATCACCACTTTCCCATGGCCCTTTTCCCATGTTCCTCTTATGGGTGCCAGCTTTTGAGGAAGCGCCCAAGCCACCATGTCCACCTCCAGCCTGGCTCAGCTCCTTTGCCTTAGCCCGTGCCTTCTCTACCCCCCCCCCAACAGGTCCCCTCCCGTCCTCCCCACTTCGGGTTCCTTTTCTGAGTGGAAGCAGGGTCTTTTTGTTTTCATTTGTAGACACACCCCTGACTGTATTAAGTGCTTAATAAATGCTTTTTTTATCCCGGCCTTATCTTTGCCCTTTTAAAGATCTTCACCTCTAGAAAGCCGAAGTTTTATCTTGGCTGAATATCAGTTCGGCCTTCTTCCTCTGAGGCACTTCGCTGAGCTAGGGGATCAGTTGGTGGACTGTCTAATCGAGAAACCCCCAACTGCTTATCCAGCCGCATCAGTCAACCAAACCTCAGTGGACACCCGCTGACTGCCCAGGGCTCTGGGCTGTATGGTGGCCTTATTTGTGGTTGAGCAGAAAGTATTGGGGCCTTCTTGGAGCCCCGGGTCATATGCAGTGAACGGCCTCGATTTCTCCTGGGCTCTGGTCAGGGGCTTCCCTGGTCATCATCCTTTCTCAGCTGCCCATGTGGTCTCGCCTGAGTCCCTGCTTTGCCCTGGCCCTGGGTCTTTTCACTTGTAGATTTGGATGAGGTGACTCCATCCCTGTGACCTGTTCCAGCCCTCAAGAGACTTTGCTGGGAGTAAACTAGCGATGTGATGGAAGGCTTCTGCCAGAGACACTGCAGGACCAGACCCCGTCAGAGACCTTTAGCCGACGCTAGTCTGGGAAGCTTGCCCTCTGCCCTGCCGGTAAAGGTTAGCTATTGAACATTGTAGAGCGAATGAATGGTGTGCTCTGCCTGGCCCTGGGAACTGTGATTCCCTGGTGCCCCTCCTGCCTCTCTGTGTTCTAGGGTACACCCAGCCCTAAACCTGGAGCTCTCTTTTCTTCTTGTCAAGCTCAAGGACTTGTGCCCCACAAGAGCACCAGGGTTGGCCCATGCAGCCTGGGGAATCACAGGAGTGGAGGGGAGCACGTTTGGCATCGTAGAAGCATCCCTGGCCAGGAGCGGGCACTTCGTCTCCATCTTGACCTCCTCTGGCCCCTTCATCAGGCCAATGGGCTCGGGCTTTGGATGAGGAAGCTGTTGAGGGAACTGGAGATGTGTCGTGGGCACGGCTGCCTGGGTTGGTCACGTGCCCCCTGCCCCATTGTCACTGACACCCCAGAGTGCTTATAAAAGGGCAAATCGGGATGCAGGGACCTTCGTTCTACTCTTCGTCACTTGTAGAGCAGGTACTCGGCACACACCAGCCTTGCAGGTGCCTCGGTGTGGGAGGTGGCACTGAAGGAGGCACTGAAGACCTGCACAGGGCTGCAAGGCAGGGGCTCAGCTCTGGGGCCAGCTGTGTCCCCGTTCAGCTTTCTGAATTCCAGCCAGGTCCTTATCTCTGCAATGGGGATGTAGGGGGGAGGGGAGATGATCTCAGAGGTCCTTTGGGGCTCTAGATTTTGGAAGTTTCATTGGCCATTTTGTGAGGGCTGTAGACACACCTCACTCTTGAAGGGCTGGGCAGAAGGGAGATGGAATGAGAATAAAACATCCTGTTTCAGGAGGAAATGGGCCTCTGAAAGGAAACAAATGAGCCTCAGACCCAAGGGAGAAGTTTGCTGCTCAGAGCAGGAAACACAAAAGTACGTAATAAGATGGTAGGAGCGAAAACAAGGACAGTGGCTGTTTCGGTGCTGTGTCACACTCACACACACACACAAACATGCACACAAATACACACTCAAAATTCACACACACTGCAGAGGGGTATAAAAGCCTTGGTCAGGGGGAAGGAGCGTCCAGAGCCATCCCTCCTCCTCTGCTCCTCTCCCAACCCAGACACCATGTGCCACACCAGCTGCTCCACTGGCTGCCAGCCGGCCTGTTCCGTGCCCGTCTGCTACAAGCCCATCTGCTGTGTGTGTCCCTGCTGCCGCCCAGCCTCCTGTGTGGCCCTGCTCTGCCGCCCAGCAGGCACCGTGGTGACCGGCTGCCAGGCAGTCTGTGGAGCTGGCAGCAGCTCCCCCTCATGCTGTGGAGGCAGCTCCTGCCAGTCTGCCTGTTGCCAAACTGGACCCTGCAGCCCCGCCTGCTGCGTGTCGAGCCAGTCTGCCTGCTGCAAGCCAGCTCTGTGTGTGTCCGTGTGCTGCAAGCCTGTGGCCTGTGGGACCTCCTGCTGCCAACCAGCCTCCTGCACCTCCCTGCTATGTGGACCCTCCTGTACCCCCTCCTGCTGCTGAGCACACATTGTCTCTGCTCAGATGAGAGGAGCCACCACTTCTCAGATCACTGTGGCCATGGCCTTGCTCACCCACTCTGAGGGGCCTTTTCTGGGCACTCAAAACCAAGCAGTTGACCCAGGATCTTCAGTGTTGCAGTAATTCTCTTCTCATGACCTCCGTGCACAGTCCGTGCACATGTAGCCCATCTCTCTCAAAAGAACCGCTTCCTAATGTTTTGTCATGAAAATCAAGCTATCTTGTCCCCTATTAAATCTTACTCCATTTCTTTCATTTCATTGTCATAAAATAGTTTTCTTAAAAAAGTTTAAGTAATTGAATATTTGTTGGGAATATGGAAGTATTCAACTACAGTGTAGCCTTGAGAGGGTGTGTGTGTGTGTGTGTATGTGTGTGTGTGTGTGTATCTGAATCTGTGAGAAGAAAATGACTGAAAGGAACCAACTATACATAAATATACATACACATACACATGTAACTACTTTGTCATCTCTAAGAAATGTTTATGAGAATGTGGTAAATCCATATCATCTTAACAAAAATTACTGTGATGTAAGAAGTAAAGTAAGACATATCTTCAAGGCCTGGAATGGCTAGAAAAGCTCATGAAAATAATAATGCCTAACATTTACCCAGCATTTATTGTGTGCTGGACACTGGGCTAAGCATTTACCATTATTATCTTATTTGATCCTGAAAATAACACTGGGAGGTAGGTTCAATAGGAATCTACAATTTAATATTGAAGAATACAGATTAAGTGAAATTTCAGGAGTCATAGAGCTATTAAATAACAGAAGTGGAATTTAAATGGAAGGCTTTGTGACCACCGGCCTTGTGATTTATCTGCTAAAACACTTGGCTACCAAGGATGTCAACAAACATATCTCTCCAATCCACAGATATATGCATTAACCAACATTTGTATTTGGATGTGATCAGTGGCCATGAAAGAATGATAAACACAGAGGCTAAAGGGGACAGAGGGTCTTGATCTGAAACAAGTTCATGTACTGTTGACTCTGTGTATTAAACCCTTGGAGAATCTGCATCAGCCATAAGAACAGAGAAAATAGAAGCAAATAAATAAAGTTATTTGAAGCAATATTTCCAACAACACTCTGAAATAAATAGACTGTCAAGAAAATTAGTGAGGACATTGAGTGCTGTGCTTTCCTGAAGGAATGGCACACGGAACCCAAAAATGCTCTTGGATTCCAGTAGTCAGAAAGCCACCTTGCCACAGTGAAACGAATGGCACTGGTGAGGTGCCAAGTGACGTTCACCACAGCAGGGAGAGGAACGACTGTCTGACTAGGAGCTCTCCCTGCACCCTGACCAGAGGCCATGCTGTCCCAGGAGACCCCTGGAAAAGGCCCGGGCCAGAAAATCCTCCAGCCAGCACTCTGTCGCAACCCAAGAGGGCATGCCTGGCAAGTGACAAGAGAACTGACACTCGGCCTGACTCCCTCCCTCACCCAGTAGCTGAGGGTACGGACTTCAGCAGGTCCCTCTGTGCTTCCTGGTGCCTCCAGCTTGGAGGCCAGAACCTGCCATGAAAGCCAACACCCCCCACCACTCTCCACTTTGAATGACAGGTTCTCCCCTGCTGGAACGTGCTTGGGGAGGCGTCTGACTATACGACTCTTACTGGGCCGAGGACCCCTTTCCACAGCCTCCCTAGTCCTGGCTGCCCCCACGGTCACCTGCGGACTTCTCAGCAGAGTGGCTAGCAGGCCTACTGCAGAGGACCCCAAGCCACATATCCAGCATGCCCTTCCTGCCTGGTCCCTTGGGGTCATCTGAAGGGGAGGGTCCAGGAGAGCACTGTAGGTAGCCTGCTGCCCTTTGCCTGGGACAGGAGGCATGTTCTCGACGCCATCCTTGTCTCCCCTTCACTACCTGACTCCTCCAGGATTCGTCTTCTCTTCACTGAGAAGCGCTGGGTGTTCTGTCAGTGGCCCCACTGCAACAACCCACACAGCAGAAACTCAGTGCTCACGGACATCCCAACATGCCTGCGGCTAATATGCAGACACTTGCTCCAGAGTCCAGGCAGGATACCTGTCCTCCTGTCCCCTCCCCAACCAACACTGCTGCGCTTCCTCTACCAGGCTTCTCCTGGGACATGTGCCTTGGAAGGCCCATCCCAGAGATGCCCCACCAGTCCGACAGTGGACCAAGCCATGCCTCCCCTCCACAGTCTCTGAAAACACCTACAGGGCCTCCCTGCCACAGGCAAGAGCACTGATCATGCATGCGTGAACACCTCTGACATGGGTCCTGCTGCCTCATGCCACAAAAACCTCAGTACGCGACAGCGTGACCACCTTGGAGGGCACTCTCTGGTAAGTGGCCCTATCCCTTCAGTCATTGTGCCTGCTGGCCCTTCCTTCCTCTCAATGGAAGCCAAATCCACTGACCTACTTTCAACATCAACGCTGGCTGCAGGGACGCAACAGAACCTAAGGCAGGGCACCACCACTTCAAAGCACTAGCACATGCTTACACACATGCATTCACCACCACACACACACAAGCACAAGCACACTGTTAGAGATGTTTATGGGTCACTGGCCATCCCCTGGACATCATCACCTGATGATGGGCTCTGAGGGAAGCAGCCAGCCATAAACAACAACAGGAAAGAAGGCTCAATCTCCCCTTGGGACATCCTCCTGCAGGAGGGATATAAAAGCCCACCAGGCTACACCACCTTCACACACAGCCCCACAGCTGCACTCACACACACACACACTCACACAGACCCACACCCACAAGCACAATCCCAGTGAGGCTCAAGCTGTCCCTGCACCAGGCACTCAGCCCCTCACTGACACCCCTCTCACACACTTTGCTGCCCCAGGCACCAACACAGCTGCTCCACCATGGCAGACACCTGCTTTTCTGGGCCCTGTGTTCCCATGTCTTCAGCTGTCTCCGTCTGCTCCAGTGATGTGAGCTGCGACAGCAACATCTACCTGCCCAGTTCGTGCCCGGGCTCCTCCTGGCAGCTGGACGACTGCCCCGAGAGCTGTTGTGAACCCAGCTGCTGTGGCTCCTCCTGCTGCCAAGGCCCCTGCTGCACGCCAGTCTCCTCTCTGACCCTGCTATGCCGCCCAGTCTGCTGTGTGCCCGCCACCTGCCAGACAGCCTGTGAACCCAGCCCCTGCCAGTCTGTCTGCACCTCCTCCTGCTCCCCATCAGGCTGCCAGCAGTCCTGCTGCCAAGCCCCTAGCTGCTCTGCCTCCCCCTGCTCAGTGCAGTCCTGCTTCTGTGTCCCTCTGTGCTGCAAGCCCAGCTGCTACGTTGCCCTGCCTGTGTGCTGCAAGCCCAGCTGCTGTGTGACCACAGCCTGTTGTCCAGTGCCCTCCTGCTGTCCAGCCACCACCTGCTGCCGCCCTGCCTCCTCTGTGTCCTTCATCTGCAAGCCCGTGTGCAGCCCAGCTGCCTGCTGTGTGCCTGTCTCCTGCAGACCCTCCTGCTGCACCACTACATCCTCCTCCTCTTGCTGCTGCGCCCCCTCCTGCTGTCCAGCTACCACCTGCTGCCGCCCTGCCTCTTCTGTGTCCTTCATCTGCAAGCCCGTGTGCAGCCCAGCCGCCTGCTGTGTGCCTGTCTCCTGCAGACCCTCCTGCTGCACCACTACATCCTCCTCCTCTTGCTGCTACGCCCCCTCCTGCTGTCCAGCCTCCACCTGCTGCCACCCTGCCTCCTCTGTCTCCCTCATCTGCCGGCCCACCTGCTGCAAACCCGCCTGCTGCACTGCCACCTGTGGCCAAAAATCCTGCTGCTGACCACAGGACACTTGTTCCTCTCACCCCCTCCTCAACTTCTGTCAGCCTCCTGGCTCCAGCCTCAAACATCAACCTGAACACCTGGCCAGCAACATCCCCAGAGGCATTGAGGCCACCAGGCCACAGACAACAAGCCACACGGAATACCTCATCCACCCTAGGCCCATGCTGGGCCCCCTGCAAACCATGGCTGACCCCAGCCATGACTCCAGCTTTCCCGTGCACCTAGGTCAGTGTCTGCCATCCTGGCACTGCCTGCAGCTCTCACACTCTCTCTAGGCTCAAAGTGTGCGGGGATGGCCCCGTCCATGGGCCTGACTGGCAATAAACTGCATCTGGTCACCTTCCTGGCCTCTCACTCGCCCTTTTTCCTTATCCTCAGCCCACTGGGGAAAGGGGAAGCATACGTCCAGCACAAGACAGCCTGCAGAGCCTGCAAGGCCATAGGAGACAGTGCACAAACTGACCACCCTGCCATGTGCACGCCTCACCGTGGTCATGCAGAGCCATGCCCTGACACACCCCTCCCCAACCCACACTCTACCACAGGCATTCTCATCCACTGGCCCACCAGGCCACGATCCTCTTGTCTTGAAACCCTTCTCCTGCATCCACCAACCCAGCACTGGCCAAGAGGCCAGCTGCCACACAGGAGTGACTTTGGCATGCACTCAGTAAGGATGCCACGTGCTCCTATACACACGTCTCTGTGAAACCACTTTCCTGTGCCTCAGAACAAGGCTTACTAGGGTCAAGCTACCAAGAAACAGGCCTTTGTTACTGAGGGGACCCTTGGCCGGACACCTAAGCATCACAAGCAGGCTTTGCATGGGCTCAGGAACCCTCTGCCCTTTGTCTGTGGCCACTGGACTCTACCATCTTTGGTCAGCGGTCAGTCAGGGATGGGGCCCTGAGTACATGGTACACGTTGACCCATGTACAAGCACACACATCCTGCACATGGAAAGGGCCTTGGCAAGGAGCAAACCTTCAAACCACACGGCAAGAATATAAACTACAACCCCATGCAGCTTGTCTGCAGGACAGGTCTAGGGGTCGCCAACCCCTGGCTTCCCAGCAGCCCCAGGAGATGGCCGAGCACAGAGGGCCTTGCGGCCCTTGGACTGAGGAGCCTGGAGCTCTCTGCTCGCAGGGGCCTGGCGCAAAGCCAGGCAGCTCAGCAGGAAACACCGAGTGTGCATGCAGGGTCCCTGATGCTTATTCCAGCACTGCCTTTGAACCAGCCCGCACCTTCCTGAAGGAGCTAACACATAGCACCAATGTCCAGATCGCAGCAGTGCAGCCTCTGGGCATCACCCACCTGAGATCCAAGGGAGGGGAGGCAGACACCCCGTGCCAACGAGTACTGTTGAAGCCATGACCATCACAAACTTCAGCCTGGCCACTGACTTCCTGAGTCCCAACCCCTTAGGTCTTCTTGGATTCTGCTGTTAGGAAGCCACGGGGGCCACGACAGTGGTGAGGTGCCAAGTGACGTTCACCACAGCAGGGAGAGGAATGACTGTCTGACTAGGAGCTCTCCCTGCACCCTGACCAGAGGGCATGCTGTCCCAGGAGACCCCTGGAAAAGGCCCGGGCCAGAAAATCCTCCAGCCAGCACTCTGTTGCAACCCAAGAGGGCATACCTGGCAAGTGACAAGAGAACTGACACTCGGCCTGACTCCCTCCCCCACCCAGTAGCTGAGGGTACGGACTTCAGCAGGTCCCTCTGTGCTTCCTGGTGCCTCCAGCTTGGAGGCCAGAACCTGCCATGAAAGCCAACACCCCCCACCACTCTCCACTTTGAATGACAGATTCTCCCCTGCTGGAACATGCTTGAGGAGGTGTCTGACTATACGACTCTTACTGGGCCGAGGACCCCTTTCCACAGCCTCCCTAGTCCTGGCTGTCCCCGGGGACCTGAGGATCTCTTGGCAGAGTGGCTGTGTGTGAGACTGCTGGCAGGTATGCTGCAGAGGACCCATGGTAATGGCAACAACAGAGAAGACAAGGTGCTGTATTGGGGGGATGTTCCAGAAGAGAGATCGGCAGGCCTTGGCCCATATTGGATTTGTGGAGTGAGAGAGAGCGAGGAGTCCAGCATGACTCTGAGTTGGTGAGGATGGGGGACTAGGAGGGTGGTGCCATCCTCTATAATAATAGGGAAGATAGGAATGAGGGAAGTTTTATGGGGAAACATAATGAATTCAGTTGTGAACATGTTGAATTTAAAATGTCATCTGGACATCCTGTTCAAGATTACCGAATTTAACAATGAATTTGTCCTCCTATTTCAGGTCTCTTTCCTTATTGAAACTGATCATCTGATAATCTTGTTTTGGAAACACTTTGGAGCATCAGTGGTTCACTGAACATGTGCCTTGTCTCCCAATTTCCTTCATATTGTGACCCCATCCACATCATAAGTGAGGAGTTCCCCACAGCCTGACGTATCCCTATATCATTCTGGTTCCTCTAGCCATATTCCCTTTTATTTTACTTCTGCTCCCACTGTGCACTTATTTTGCTGCTCAGACCTGCTTTCCTGTCAGAAATTCATAATCAAATCATTTCCCCCATTTTTCCTCCAAAGAGTTGTGTTGGTCTGCTCCTCTCTGACTTCAGTCATCATCCAGGAACTTTCCCAACCACAATCCCCCCACTGGCCACAACTCCTCTCTATTTCGAGTGAACTCAAGATGTATTTACTAGTAGATTTTTCTTTGCCAGGCAGTCTGCCATGTTCTGGGATTGCAAATGTTGTCAGAAAGGTAGCTGGAGCCCTTGAGGAGCTTCTGTTCTAATGGGAGAAAGCAGCAGCTGAAATGAAGACAACCAGGGGATGAGGAATGTCCCTCTCATGTTCATAGAGAAAGGAGTCAGTAGTAGAGCTGCAAGAGGAACGCAGTGAACATAGTTAGCCTAGGCCCTTTCTTCAGGTAGAACTTCCAGAAACAACCTGACCAGTCTGCAAAAGGGCCAGAGAGACTTTGCAGGGTAAGAAAGAGGCTACTAGTGAACAAAGGTCTGGGCCGTTTGGGCCCAGAGAGGAACTGACAAGCAGATTCTGTGTGTCATCTCCCCTCATTGAAGACATGCTCCTCAAGAGCAGAGACCAGTTCTCATTGTTTGTTGTATCCCAGGCACTCCATTCACCAAAATTTTGTGTGTCCCTGGCTGGGGCCTGGCACACAATAAGCACTTGATGGTTGCTTTTTTATTCTTACCTAGATAGGCATCAGTCCATCCCTGCAGTGTAAGTGCTTCCAAATGATTGAGAGACTTTTCCATTCCATTCAGTTCCACAAGTAATTATTAAGCACCTAAAGGTTCCGTGGCAGACTAGGTCCTAGGGACGCAAAGAAAATCCCCAAAGCAACCTTATGTGCTATGAGGGTCTACGGGGTATTCCTTCCCCTTTCTGGACCTCATTTCCTCATCTATAAAGTGAAGGCTCTGCTCTCAGCTGAGGATTTCATGATCTTGGGGGTGGGAGCGAGGAGTAGGAGTCAGGGTCAAGCAAGAAAGATCCTCTACCTTGCCTATGCTGCCACCAGGGGGCAGCAGTGTTCCGTCTTTAATCTCCACACCCACCCCTGCCCCAAGAGTACCAGGCTAGAAAAGTCAAGTCTAGTGATGTTTCCTGTTTTTTTCCTCGAAGCCTCAAGACAGTCCACAGGCTTCATTGGCTCTGGGTCTCTGACCCACCTACTTGCCTTTTCTGATGTGTATGTCTCTAAAAATATAACTTGTGCCAGTTTTTTTTTTGGGGGGGGTGCAGAGAGAGAGGTGTATCTTCATAGATCTCTTTGCATCAGCCTCTGGATTTAAACAGACCAGGTCTCTCCTAAAGGCTAGCTCTCTTTTTATTGATTGACTGGTTCATTATACTTCCACATGGAATTTACTCTGGGACCATGTCCTAATATAGCTTAGGTGTAGCTCATGTTCCCAGATGCAGGTAACAAGGTCTCCAATTTCCATGTAAGTAGTTAAGGTAGTAACTACAGCTAACATTTATATAGCACCTGCCATGTGTAAGGCATTGTGGGAAGTCCTTTAAAAATAATATCTCCTTTGATCCTTGGGAGGTAAGTGTTTATATGGTCCCCATTTGACAGATAAGGAAACTGAGGCTGAGAGAGGTTTTAGTGACTTGCCTAGGATCACACAGCTAGTGTCTGAGGCCCAATTTGAACTCAGGTCTTCCCGAATTCAGCCCTTTATCACATAGCTGTTGAATATGGAGTAAGCTAGAATTATATCACACAGAAAACCTAGGAAACACAAAGGACTCACAAGAGATCATAATTAGGTACAAAAAACATGAAAGGCATTCAAGGGCCTCCCAGGAGCGGGTATGACAGGAGTCCAGTTCCTTCCTTCCCCATGGCCTGGCTGCCCTTCATTGCTTCTCTAGCCATGGAAACCCCATGGCTGGTCTTCTCTCCCCAGAAGCACATGGTTCAGAAAATCTCCCAAGACAAGTCCAGGTCTCTGAACTCTCCCGGGGTCACCCAGGAGACTGTCTTCAAGGCTGGAACTGTCCAGGGAGTCTTCCTCGACTAACAGGCAAGATTCAGGGTGCCCCCCTCAAGTTAGGGTGGGCAAGTTTGTTCCATGACTTCTCCTTCGGGGCCCTCTGTTCATGTATTTCTTCAGGAGCTCGGGTCACCACCATTTCCCCTCTTGGGCACACTTCCCTCTTTGTGACCTCAATGATCTGCGTCCATGATGAGCTGCTGCTGCAAGTCACCATTAATAAATCCTGGAGGGAGGAAAGGGAGAAATCCTTTCCTCCACCCCCAGAGGTCCTCTAAAAGAAAGACATGAAATAAAAGGGGGAAGAGGTGGCCACAGTGAGGCCAATTCATCTGTTGCCCTCCTTCCTAGGCACAACCCCTGGCACGTGAGTCCATTCTTCTGAGTCCCAGCCAACCCGACATCTTGAGGGTAGCCCCCATCCCTGGAGACCAAGGAGGAATGGGCCATGTCCTCTAGACAAAGGGTCTGTGTAGGAAGAGTTGGACTCCAGCTGACCAGGAGAAGCCTCTCCCCAACCTTACACACACTGGAGAGAGTAAGGCTGGCCTTGTACTGCCCGAAGGAAATGAGCTTAATCCTTCTGCCACAGCCCAGCAGTGTGAGAACAAAGCTCTCTCAGCAATGTCTTGTTAAAACCAGATAGATGTCATCTAACCACCAAGTGTTGTGAAATAAGCAACTCCCCTCAAAACCTCCTTCCCTTGAGCTGATGACAGATCCTCAAGGGAGCCCAACCCCAGTGGCCCTGACCTCCTCGGCTTCAAGGATCCCCAGCTAAGAAGGGCTCCCCTTGAGACTCCATCTGCCGCTCTGAAGAGTGTCTCTCTTGGTCAGACCAAATTGTGACTTGAGCTGGGAGAAAGGTAGCCATGGTGCCCTGGAAGAGGTCCTAGAATGGCAGGGGAGTTGTTACTTTGTTTTGGTTTTTTTCCAGGAGAGACAGAAGGTCTTACATGATCAAGAGCTGGCCTTGGAGACAGGCAGAACCGGGCTCGGGTCCTGCCTCAGACACAAGTTGGTTCTGTGGCCCTGGAAAATCACCTTAGCTCTCCTGGCCCCAAGGAACACCCCCAGACTCCATGCATAGATGAGATCACAGACCTAGTATGAAAATAAATTCACAGAAATCACCTAATTCAACTGCTGCATTTTACGCATAAAGAAACTGAGGCCCAGAAAGGGTGGTGACTTGCCTGGGGTCGTGGAGCTGCTTAATGGCAATGGAGGCCAGACAGATCGCCAGATAGACATCTGAACAAGTCCTGTGGTCTTTTACCATTCATCTCCAGAGAAGGATGGAAGCAGATCTAAGCTCATTCCTGGTCGGCCATAAACCCTGGAACACTGGCAGCTGGGTAGCACCACAATGGAGAGAGCCCTGGGACTTGGAGTAAAGAAGACTTGAGTTGGAAGCCAACCTCATACACTTCCTAGCTGTGTGACTCTGGGCAAGTCATTTGACTTCTGACTACCTCAGTTTCCTCATTTATAAAATGGGGATCATAATAGCACCTCTCTCCTCCTAGGGTTGTTGTAAGGATCCAATGAGTTGACATTATGTACAGTGTTTCAAAAACCTTAAAGGGCTATATGTAAATAGCAGGTATTACTATGAACTGGCTGTTTGACCCTGGGCAAGTCACTCCATCTGCAGGTTCACTTGGGCAATAATTCCCTGACTGTTCTACTGCTCTTACAATTACTCCAGCTGGAGATAAAATGGTGGGGTGGTAAGAGCACTAGATTAGGAATCTGGAGCCCTGGGCTCTAGGCCTCCCCCTATTACTTCCTCGAAGCATTCCTTCCCCTCCCTGGGCTTCAGAGAGCCCTGCCAACTCAAGAGCTCAGCTGTTCAGTAAGTGCATGGGAATTCACTGATTCTGGCCCACATCTTTCCAGTCCTTCACTACTACTTTGAGTTCTACTAGGGCTTTGAGGATAGGCACAAGAGAGGATGGAGAGCAAGGTTTATTGCCTGTCTTTACTGTCATTAATGATAGCCATCGCCAAAGGTGGAGCATTCTCACAACAGCCCCATGAGGCAGCTGCTTCTGCACAGATGAGGAAACTGAGGGCACCATAGTCCCAGAGCCACTAAGATCTCATGGCTTCTGCCTAGGTTTCTGCCTAAAACCTTGTCCAGATTGTGGTCAAGGGTCTGACGTCCTCACTGTCATCCCAAATCACGTGCATGTAGAACTATCCAGTATGGTATAGACATGGGCTAAGAGGCTGCCTAGTGCCACCAATGGAGGCCAACTTGAGTTTGAATCCCAGCTCTGTAGTGCATCCATCAAGGGGTTGCTTTTTTTTCCCCAATGACATGTAAAGATAACTTTCAACATTCATTTTTGCAAAATTTTTGAGTTACAAATTTTTCTTCCTCCCCTCCCCAAGACTGCAAGCAGTCTGATATAGGTTATACATGTACAATCATGTTAAATATATTTCTACATTATTCATGTTGTGAAAGAAAAATCAGAACAAAAAGGAAAAACCACAAGAAAGAAAAAACAAAAAAAAAAGTGAAAATACTATGCTTTGATCTGCATTCAGACTCCATAGCTCTTTTTCTGGATGTGGTTAGCGTTTTTCATCATGAGTCTTTCGGAATTGTCATGGATCATTGTATTGCTGAGAAGAGCTAAGTCTATCATAGGTAATCATTACACAATGTTGCTGTGTACAGTGTTCTCCTAGTTCTGCTCACTTCACTCAGCATCAGTTCATAT